AACCCTAAGCCTAACCCTAAAACTAACTCTAAACCCTAAACCCTAAACCCTAAACCTAAACCCTAACCCTAACCCTAACCCTGAGGCGGAGGAACCCTTACCCTAACCCCTCTAACCCTAACCTGAGTGAGGAGGAGGAGGAACCCTAAAACTAACCCTAACCCCTAACCATAACCCTAAACCTAACCCTAACTCTAACTTTGAGCGTGTTACAGGGTTAGGGTAAAAGAGTTAAGGTCATAGTCATAGTCAGGGTTGGAATAGTTAGGGTTAGCGTCAGATGTAGTGTCAGAGTCAGAGTCATGGTCAGGGGTTGGTGTAGCATGAATTCTCAAGGGTCTTAGTAATACAAATCAAACATGATGGCAAGAATTAGGGTGAATTGAACTAACCCTAACCCTAACCCTGAGGAATGCTAACCCTAACCTCTAACCCGAACCCTAACCTGAAACTAACCAGAAACCGAACTCTAATCCTGAACCCTAACCCTTACCACAATCCTAAACCCTAAACTTAAACCCTAAAGACCCTTACCATGATTCCTAACCCAAAGATCCTGACCCTGACCCTAACCCCTAACCCTTTAAACCTTTACCCTAAACCTTAACACTAAATCCAATACACAGGGTTAGAGTTACGGTTAGAAAAATCAGGCGTAGGGGTAAGGGTTGCGGTTAGGGTTAGAGGGTAAGGGTTTAAGGTAAGGTTTTAAGTAGGGTTAGAGGGTTAGGGTTAGAGTTTTAGAGGGTCAGGCTTAGCAGGTTACAGTGTTAGGGTTAAAAGAGTTAGGGTCATAGTCATAGTCAGGGTTGGAATAGTTAGGGTTAGGGTCAGGTGTAGTTTCAGGGTCAGAGTCATGGTCAGGGGTTGGTGTAGCATGAATCCTCAAGAGTCTTAGTAACAAAAATCAAACATGATGGCAAGTATTAGGGTGAATTGAACTAACCCTAACCCTAACCCTGAGGAACGCTAACCCTAACCACTAACCCGAACCCAAACCCTAAGCCGAACATAACCAGAAACAGAACTCTAATCCAGAACCCTAACCCTTACCACAAACCTAAACCCTAACCTTAAACCCTAAAGAATCTAACCATGATTCCTAACCCTAAGATCCTGACCCTAACCCTTTAACCCTTTACCCTAAACCTTAACACTAACTCCAATACACAGGGTTAAGGTTAGGGTTAGAAAAATCAGGCGTAGGGGTAAGGGTTGGGGTTAGGGTTAGAGGGTTAGTGTTCAAGGTTAGGTTTTGAGTAGGGTTAGAGGGTTACGGTTAGAGGTTTAGAGGGTCAGGGTTAGCAGGTTACAGAATTAGGGTTAAAAGAGTTAGGGTCGTAGTCATAGTCAGGGTTGGAAAAATTAGAGTTAGGGTCAGGTGTAGTTTCAGGGTCTGAGTCATGGACAGGGGTTGGAATAGCATGAATCCTCAAAGGGTCTTAGTAATAAAAATCAAACATGATGCCAAGTATTAGGGTGAATTGAACTAACCCTAACCCTAACTTTGAGCGGGTTACAGGGTTAGGGTTAAAAGAGTTAGGGTCATAGTCATAGTCAGGGTTGGAAGAGTTAGGGTTAGCGTCAGGTGTAGTTTCAGGGTCAGAGTCATGGTCAGGGGTTGGTGTAGCATGAATCCTCAAGGGTCTTAGTAATACAAATCAAACATGATGTTAAGTATTAGGGTGAATTGAACTAACCCTAACCCTAACCCTCTAACCCTAATCCTCACCCTATTCTGTATATACTCTAACCCTTTCATCAATTGTCATAATAATAGTGTCATGTGTTAATCAGTTTAATTTTTAAATCTAACCCCTAACCCTGAGCATCCCTAACTTAAGCCTAACTGTAAAACCTAATCTGAACCCCACTAACTTTAACTCCCTAAGTCTAACTCTCCGAACCCTGACCGTAAGCCCCATCCCTGACCCTAACATTAATCCTAATCCTGAGCCTTTACATGCCAGTTATATGAACTCGTCCTCATGATTTTGCAACGAGTACTTTATCCACTGATTTTATAGTTTTGCTTGAGTAAAGTTCTCTGGGGGTGTTGCCAGTGATGTGTAGACTGACATAATTTCCTTCTAATTCTAACTATGCCGCAACACTGTGCCCAGATTTTTTTTTAAGTTGTATCTCTTTATTTTGCCCAGATTTTTAAAAAAGATATTTCTCCTTATTTGTCTTGCTTGAATGTATTTATGTGTCCAGTGTCCATGCAAGTCAGAAGAGGGGTCTAGATACCTTTTTGTTTTGTTTTGTTTGAGACAGAGTTTCTCTGTGTAGCTTTGCGCCTTTCCTGGAACTCGCTTTGGAGACCAGGCTGGCCTCAATCTCACCAAGATCCGCCTGGCTCTGCCTCCCAAGTGTTGGGATTAAAGGTGTGCGCTACCACCGCCTGGCTAGATATATTTAAACTGGAGTTATATATAGTTGCAAAACTCCCTGTGGATGATGTGAACTGAATCCAGGTCCTACGCAAGCGTATGCTGCTATTGTCCTCTGAACCATCTCTCCAGCCTCCCTGTGGTTTTTTTATTCTCTCTCTTACTTGGGCAGTTTTCCAGTTTTTCAATCAGTGCTCTCAACGTGTCAGCTCACTGACTTTTACTGTACAAAATTTTCCTTCTATAAAATCTGTTGGTAGTCTTTATTATGGATCCTTGTATGATAAAGGTCATTTTTCTTTTCTGCTTCCAATATTCTTTCTTTGGTGATAATTTGATTTATAGACAAAATTCTTGTTTAGTTAGTTTTGGTTTTTGAGACAAAAATCTCATTATGTAGCAGAGGAGGGCTGGGAAAATGAAATAAGTGGGTAAGAACCAACATAAAGAAATATATAACCAACTCCACAAAGTTGCCTTCTGACATCCACATGAGTGTTGTGACATGTATCCACCACTACCCCCTACCATATACACATGCAATAATTTTTTTTTAAATGGGGCAAATTGAGTCTGGTTGTGAAAACTCCAGCTAAGAGTTGTGAATTCCAAATTAATGAAGTTTGCTTACACAGTCAATAGTTATTTTATACAGAGATTTCAATTGAGAATGTTAACATTGACGAACCACACTAACAAGATGACCCTAAGTTTGACTTTTCCTACTTGTAAGCCTAAAACTCACAGATAGTAAGGTTTCTTTATTGACAGTCAAAAGTCATGTCTTAACCCCTTGTAACCTGGTATATTAAGAACTGCTTGAACCTTTGTTACCTATGGAATTATCCTATGATCTCATTTAACAAATAGGAAAAAGGAGCGGTGGGGGTGGAGGTTTACTGAACACCAAAATCATAAACACGGTCATCATTAAGACACTTGAATTACTTCATACCTAGTTGTCCTGAAATTCTTTTCTGTGGCATAGTCTAGAATCGCAGCATCACTAACAAAAATTCACAGAAAGAACGGGGGCTGAGACAGGCGGCTTGGAGCTGTATCTTCTCTTTCAACTCCTGCTGCCACTGACAGCCTGGACCTCCTGATACTCCCGCTTCTGCCTCTCAAGTGGTAACACTGCACGTTTGTGTCACCCTTGGGTAGCATTTTGAAATACTAATGCACATTACCTTACTGCCCTGAGAAACTATTGTACTGACTTCTATTCTCACCAGCAATGTGAGAATTCCTAAGCCTTACCAACAGTAAAAATCATCATTCTCTCCCACACCTCTGTCATCCAGTACCAAGATTGAGCACAGAATTTGTCATATGCTAGGCAAGTGATCTAATACTCAAATTCATCTTCATTCAAAGATGACTATGTGGCTCTTCTCTGTAACAGAGTTAGTGAAAGGAGATAATCAACAAAGTCCCAAAGGCTTAAAAACAACCACAGATCAAAGGTTTCAAAGTCAGCTCTTGTTTGTAAATTACTCATTCATACCACTATTTATTTTCCCGAGACAGGGTTTCTCTGTGTACCTTTGCGCCTTTCCTGGAACTCGCTTTGGAGACCAGGCTGGCCTTGAACTCACAGATATCCGCCTGACTCTGCCTCCCGAGTGCTGGGATTAAAGGCGTGTGCCACCAACGCTCGGCTCCATACCACTATTTAAGGACTTTGAAAACATTAGATCTGCTATGTTCATAGGAGGATACTGTGATTTTAGATCTCCTTACTATCTGCATTCTTTATAATCTTTATCATGACTGTCCAGTTGCATGGAAGGGACCAGAGCTTCCAACATAGAAAAATATGTCTACTATACAGAGTAATCTCCCTAGTGGTTTCAAAAAATATGTAACTTTTCTAAATGTATTGAGGTTTTAATAGGTTTTTGAATGGGGTTCAAACACAGACCTTTGTACTTGCTAGGCACAGGCTCTGTTGTGGACCTTTATCCCTAGCTGGAAATAGAAAATATTTTTGGTTACTTTTAAATTCCCATCAACATCATCCAGAAAATCCAAATCATAGAACAGTTCGTTTAGTTGTTAATCATAAAAGATGTATCATGTCAGTCCTGAATTTTAAAGTGCTTTTCAGTTATTTTATGGGTATTTTTATAATTACTCTAGAGAGAAAAAATAAAAATTATTTTAAAAATTAAATGGCTGGAGTTATAGCTCAGTTGACAGAGTACTTGTCTAGCATGCATGAGGCTCAGAGTTCAATTCCCAGCACTGCATGAAATGAACATGGTTCACATGCCTATCATCCTAACACTTTTGAGACAGAGGCAGCAAGAATAGGAGGTTCAATATTATCCTTGGTTATAAACTAAGTTTCTAATACTAATGGTAGTAAGGAAATATCAACTACCCACTACATACAAAGGATGAAGGAACAGGATCTGAGGCCCTTGTGCATTAAGGACTTTATCTGCTGACTTGCAGATGGCCTGTTTCACACTGGCCCTCCACCACAGAAGAGTCAGCTTCCTATCATACAGCAAAGACCTTCAGCACACAAAATCCATGCTTTTAAGCTGGGCAAGTCCTGCTCTTAGTCTCTCCAGCGATGTCCACATTGAGCATTGCAGCACTTGTAGAAGGTAGTCATTGGCTCATCTGCAGAACGGGTCTGAAGCTGCATGAAGTAGGCACGGGGATGTTCACATTTTGGACATGGCTCTGACAAAGAGAAAAACAAGTCATCTACATTACACAAATACCGTTAACGGGATTGGAGAGACCTGTGACTTTGAAAGCACCTCCCTGGTCCCACTTTCCTTCTCAAATTGTATTGAAAACTGACTGGAAGCATAGCATGGGAAGGGTCTATTATAGTCTGTTTCGTGGGACTATAACAAAAATGCCTGACCAGTGTGGTAGAACTTAAGTAGCACTTCAGAGACTGAGACAAGAGGCTTGCTACAAGGCCAGCCTGGGCTACATAGCAAGATTCTATCTCAAAAATAAACAAATAGTTTTTTGTTTTTTTTTTTAAATTAAGCCTCTACTCATTTTTCGTTTTCAAGGCTTTTGTTGTTTGCTTTTATAAAACAAGTTCTTGGGGCTGGCCTCAAAGTCACTAGGTAGCCAAGATGACCTTGAACTCCTGATTCTCTCCTCCTCTCCACCTCTTAAATTGTACTACTGTACCTAGCTAATCCTAACTTTTAACATAGAAGATCTGTATCTGCTATAGAAAAAGACTGCTAATCACACATATGCTCTTCCTTCTCAAACAGGTCACATTTAGGGCCCTCTTCTTTCTTTCCATTATCACATTTAAGTCTATTAACATAAATCTTTTAATTTTTTAAAAATAATTTTATGTGTATGTTTTGCACATAGGTATTTTGTGAACCATATTCATGCAGTACCCTTGGATGCCAGTAGAGGACACTGGATCACCTGATATTAGAAGTACAGAAGGTCAGTGCTGCCATATGAGTGCTGGGATGGAAACCCAGGTCCTTTGGAAGAACCATCTCTCTATTCTCACAACTATTTATTAGCTGACTGATTGAGAAAGGGTCTCATGGAGCCAAGATAAGCATTGAGTCTTCTGCCTCCATCTTGAGAGTACTGGGATTACAAGCTTGAGCCACCATACTTCACCTCCAGTTATAAATTTTTAAAATCCATATAGAATAAAAAAGATCAGGGCTCATCATTTTTTCAATATTAGTATTTGAAAATACATAGAACAGAATTCTCTTGAGAAGCCTGTACCCACTAGAGCATGGATGACTATCCTCTTACATATCCTCTCTCTCTTTCAACAACCATTAATATTTAAATTTAAATCAACATTGAAACTTTTTTGTAATAAACCCTGTTTGCTTCAAAAAGAGAATGTATACCAGATTTTTAATTATACTTGTTCATATCCGACCTGGAGAATCTAAATAAAACAACAGAGCATGTATCAGTATAATGATTTTCCTTTCAGTATATTTAATCCTTGAAAGAATCTGCTCTAAAAATTTTTAATATGGCTGGGTGGTGGTGCACATGCCTTTAAATCTAGGGCTACACAGAGAAACCCTGTCTCAAAAAAACAAAATCAAAGAAACAAAAAAGTGGTTTTTTTTGTTTTGTTTTTTTGGTTTTTCAAGATAGGGTTTCTCTGTGTAGCTTTGCGCCTTTCTTGGAACTCACTTGGTAGCCGAGGCTGGCCTCGAACTCACAGAGATCCGCCTGCCTCTGCCTCCCGAGTGCTGGGATTAAAGGCGTGTGCCACCACTGCCCGGCCCAAAAAAGTTTTAATGCCTTGCTTTAAGAATGACTACACTGTGACTAAAACATATCATCAAAATATTTCCTGCCGGGTGGTGGTGGCGCACATCTTTAATCCCAGCACTCGGGAGGCAGAGCCAGGTGGATCTCTGTGAGGTGGAGGCCAGCCTGTCTACAGAGTGAGATCCAGGACAGGCACTAAAACTACACGGAGAAACCCTGTCACAAAAAAACAAAACAAAAAATTCCTGTACTGGCAAACACAAGCTATTTGTCATTAATTTACTATTTATATTTACTTAAATTCTTTTATACTTACTTGGGATGGGGGCTGGAAAACAACTTTCATGAGTTAGCTGTCTCCTTATACTATCTGGGCTCCAATGATCAAACTAAGATGAACAGGTTTGGCAACAAGTACTTTTACCTGCTGAGCCATCTCACTGCTTCTAATAATATACAAGGTTGCATTATAATAAGTAATTTTATTATTATCAAATACAACAATAAGTAATAATAAACAGGGTTGAGTCACTGGCTCTGTAATGGAAAAATTCTCACCTGCAGTAGAGTCCACATTCTCCCAGGCAGCTGCTCCACCAAGCACATCATCCACTTCTTTCAGCTTTGGATACTTTCGGTTTGTTACCTAACAAAAACAAGCCATCAGATTTCAAATAATCATATAGTTTTAAAGGCGGGCCAACAAACAATAACGTCCTTCCAGCATTTCCTCTACTCAGTAAATGGATACAAAATTTATCTTCTTCAAAGAGCAGCAAAAGCTATTAAAATGTAGGGGTTTTGTGACTGGGATGCTCCCAAAACAGCACAGAGGTTCAATGTCAGAGACCCCTAGACATTGGAGGAAACACCAGACAGAGAAGAAAAGATAGCTGACTTAAACTCTGCTCTTCTCTCATACCTCTAAGACACCTAATAATCCAACATGAAGGACAGACAAAACAAGCCTAACAGCACCATTTATCTGGGTATCCCAGCATTCCCCGGGACACATTTGGTTGCTTTCCTAAGTTTATCAGTCATCCCTCAAATTTCAAAATTATGTCACCATTCATCTTATCACAAATCCAGACTCTAAACTCCTACCATACAGCTCTAAGGTGCAAACATTAAGAATGAGGTGTAGCCGGGCGGTGGTGGCGCACGCCTTTAATCCCAGCACTCGGGAGGCAGAGGCAGGCGGATCTCTGTGAGTTCGAGGCCAGCCTGG